TGCAGGGGGAAGCTGAGGAAGTGCCCTCCCAGCCAGAGCCCCAGCTCTGAGCCCACGGTCACCTCCAGCTCGTGCTCGCTGTCCCCAGTGGAGTAGGACAGGACGGTCTGGCTGCCCTGGGGCTGGGCTCTGCTCCAGAAGCACAGCGTGAAGGCTTGCAGGGACACGGCACGGAGGGGCTGCACCTCCACAAAGCTCTCGACGTTTTCCACGGGGAAGTAGAAAGCTGGAAAGGTGCTGGATTTGGTATCTGAAATAACCCAAAAGCCAGCAGTTACATTTCCTGTAAAGCAGCCCAAATTCTGGAGGATGGCACCCACAGAGCTGGTAGGGCTGTGCAGTCTGAGCTCCCAGGTATGCTGTGTGTTGTGCCAGCAGGGAAGGGCTTTGGAATGATGAAAAGCTGAGCTGAGCTCCCCCACACAAACATTTGGGCAAAAAAATGGTTTTCCCTCTTTCCTCTCTTTTCTCATGTTGTATAAAATAGAGGTGAGGGTTATTTATCCTGGGGGAACTGAGCTGAGCATTTTTACTGTTTGTAAAAATGTGTTCCCATGTGGCAGGAGAGAGCTGCAGCTGCTGTGGGAGTAGCTGGCTTAGGGCTGGCCTTGATGATGGTGAAGGATTTCCATCAGCAGGCCCAGATATGGCACAGAATTCTACCTGGGTGTGCCAAAGCTGTCAATGGTTTGGGCCACCAAGCTCAGCAGGGCTCTCCATCCTCACCAGGTGAGGGGACTCAACCTGTGTGTCTTACCTGCGTGGCTCAGTCCATTCAGCAACTCTCTCTTCATGTCCTGGAGCTGCATCTGGATTTGGTCCAGCCTGAGGGTGAATTCCTCTGGATCACACTGTGCTGGAGCAATCAGAGAGCTGAACTTACAGAGGGCTGGCACCTGCACAAGCTGCATTTTCCAACTGGAGCAAAAGCTGTGCTTCAAACTGCAGCTCCTCTCCTCGGTGTGGCTGCCCAGCCAGAGCTGTTCCTGCAGCTCCATGCACCAGACACAGCCGAGCTGAGGCTCCCGACGTGGTGCCAGGTGGCAGCAGCTGCCCTGGAGGTGTGACACTCGCAGGGCAGGGCTGGCACACACCTTGAACCAGGGGAGGCACAGGGACAGCTCCACCCGAGCAGGGACGCTGCCCTCCCAGCCAGGGGACTCCAGCCTGTCCAAGCACAGGGCCTGGCAGTGTCACACCCTCCCCCAGTGTCCCCTGGCCCTACCCTGGCCCCGCTGGGCTCGGAACGACGCCTCCACCACGCGGCCCCGCAGCGGCTGCGCGTGCCGGTAATCGTTGCGCAGCGTGTGGTTGTGCCAGTCCAGCAGCGTGTTCTCCAGCAGCTGCACCTACCACGGGACAGGCACAGGGCAGGGGGGCGTGGGGACATCACTCAGGGCATGAGGGCATCACTCAGGGAACAATGGCATGGGGACAGACACAGGGCATGGGGCTATCACACAGGGACATCACTCAGGGCACGGGGACATCACTCAGGGCATGGGGACATCACACAGGGCACAATGACACAGGGACATCACTCAGGGCATGGGGACATCACACAGGGCATGGGAACATCACTCAGGGCATGAGGGCATCACTCAGGGACATCACTCAGGGCACGGGGACATCACTCAGGGCATGAGGACATCACTCAGGGCATGAGGACATCACTCAGGGACATCACTCAGGGCACAGGAACATCACTTAGGGCACATGACACAGGGACATCACTCAGGGCATGGGGATATCACACAGGGACAGACACAGGGCATGGTGATGGGGACATCAGTCAGGGCATGGGGACATCACACAGGGAACAATGGCATGGGGACAGACACAGGGACAGGGACATACATAGGGCACAGTGGCATGGGGACATCACACAGGGCACAGGGACAGCAGCTCTGCCTGGAGCTGCAGTGCAGAATGGGACAGGAACATCACAAAGGGCACAGGGACATTACGCAGGACACAGGGACATTACAGAGGGCAGAGGGACAGCAGCTGTGCCCAGACCAGCAGTGCAGAATGGCACAGGGACATTACGCAGGACACAGGGACATTACAGAGGGCAGAGGGAGAGCAGCTGTGCCCAGACCTGCAGGGCACACCCTGCAGCTGGGGATTGCACTGGGGATCACACAGGAATCCTCAGGGTCTCTTGCTGAGCAGCAGCTGGGGAAGGGACAGGACTGAGGGCCCTTATCAGCCAATTCATGATAAGGGCTGGGAGAGTTCTGAGCTCCTGCCTGAGGATAGCAGGGATGGAGATTCTGCTGCTATTCAGTGCTTTTCTCACAAGTGCCCTCCAGCCTTCCCCTGCCAAAAAGAGTATTTCTTTTTCAAAGAGAGCACACTGTGATCTCCCACTACTGTGGTCTCCGTTTTATCTTTTTCTTCTCCTGGAAGAAAATGTTTCTGATGCTTCTTTATTATTTATTAACTTTAAAGCATTGCTTTCAGTGTGAGTCTAGACACAGAAAAACCCTGAAATACCTTCTAAAATCTGCCAATTATTCTGTAATTATTTTAATGTTATGAATGGCTCTTTTTTGGTGTTTTTTTTTTTGGCTTGGTTTTTTTTTCCAGGGGGACTCTCTTGCAGTAGTTTTTGCCTTGTTAATCTCATGGGTCCCTTCCTTTTTTATAGTGCTCCAGGGTGGCTGAGCTTTGCTGAGCAGAGCTTTGTGATCAGTCACCAGAGCTTGGTGACAGCTGCACAGCCTGGCCCTGCTGCCATGCAGAACGACAGGCACCTGGAACTGCAGGAATCCACCCCAAATCTCTGTGGGAGAGGTGCCCCAAGAGCTCTGTGTTCCCTGGAGGGCAGAAAGGGAACACCCAGAGGCAGGAGGAGCTGGGGAGAGGCAGCACTGACCTGAGTGTGGGACAGGACAATGGGCGAGTGGAAGATGGTCCAGATGACGCTCTCGGAGCACGGCGGGGTGGTCAGGGAGCCCTGGTACCTGTAGAAGTGGGAGAGGTTTTCTGGCAGCATGGCTTGGATGTCCAGGGAGCTGAGAGTTGTGGAGTGACCTCCAAAGGAAGCAGAGATGGTATCAGCAGTTAATGGGGAAGTGCTCTTGGAGCTGGGGCTGGCAAACCCCTCTGGCCCATCAGAACTGTGCTGGAGCTGGGAGGAGATGGAGAGGCACGAGAGGCCCTTCCTGGGGCTGTGGTCTGTCAGACAGACATGTCTGGGTCCTGGGGGTGCTGGGCAGTGCTCTCAGTGCTGTGCCAGTGCCTGGGGTGCTCCAGGAGGCACCAGGGGCTCTGCAGGCTGCAGGAAGCTGCTATTTGGTGCTGCCCACACCTCCAGGAGTGCATTTATTGCAGCCCTGAGCACCCTCCCCACAGCTCTGGGTGAAATTGTGCAGGGCTGAGGGTGCTCTGCCAGCACAGCAGCAGGAAAAGGGCAGGTCCCAGAGTGTGCACAAGCTGGGAGCTATCAGGGACAGAGGAAGGCATTGCCAGGTCTTACCTGCAAACCTGATCCGTGCCAGTTTGGAGATGAATTCGCTGTAGTAGGTGTTCTCAAAGTGCCCATCCTAAACACAGCACAGACACTTGATCAATGGTGTGACCTGCCTGTCCTTCTCACTGCTGAGCACTTGGGGGGAGACAAAGAGAACAAACACCAGCACAGGTCCCCTGATGGGCTGGACAATGCTCAGGTTTGTACAGCTGGGGCAGAACAGTGAACAGGATTCTTTTTTACTACTTTAAAATCCAAGTGTTCCCACTGGCAAAGCAGGGCTTGGAAGCACAGCAGGGAAATCCCACCTGATATTCTTATACATATAATACATACATATACATATATATATATGTATATATACATACATATACATATACATATATACATATACATATATATATATATATAAAAAGAATACTTATGGGGTAGTTTTCTGGGGCTCCCAAGGGGTACTGGCTGGTGCTGTGTGAAGCCCAGATGGCCCAGGGGAAGCAGCACAGCCCCTAAGGAGGTGCCAGACCCCATGTCCTGGGCCAGCTGTACAAACCTCGTGTCTCAGGGAGGTTTTACCCAGCCAGTGCCCCTGCCCCAGCCTGTGTGGGGGCCTGAATATATGTTGTATTGTAAGACCTATGTGGTTCTAAGTTACTCTAAA